AGAATCCTTGTTTTTGCTTTTGTTTTTTAAACAGTATTTTTAATAAAACTAAGTAAGGCAGTCAGGATGGAAAAAACATTCACATCAGGATAAAGACAAAATATTCACAAAAAAAAAAAAAAAAAATGGGACCTTTAAGCATCTATATAAAAGCATCAATTTTCACAATAAATAACACCAAACTTGAACTAGGTTAAAACTTCAGATTTATCACAGGAAATATTAAGTAGATAAAAATACTTCAAAGTATTTATTCAAAATTTTGTTAACAACATCAATTACCTACGATTTATACATATGCATTTTAAGTCACACATTTCTATGAGATCTTAATATTATAATATGTGCAGACGACATGCACTGTCGATACTGAAGTTTTATTACTACTACAGTGCACGGCAGAAGTATTAGTTATTCTTTGATATTGGTTCAAGTATTTACTTTCCTTTATTTTTGCTTTAGAAAAACGGACGAACAGATAATCATATGCCTGAAGTGCAATGTGTAAGCAAAAATTTGTGTGCAACATGGAAATCATATCGACCGCAAGAAAGGACATTGTTGCATGCTACTTCCACCATTTAATGGGAAAAGAGTCGGGAAACTATCATTGTTATATTAAAAATATCGCAACAGTTAGGTTAGGTTCTGATAATACATGTTTCAGTCTTCTGCTAAAGCTGTAATGGGGCGCCAAACGATCAAATTCTATGCTATTGTCGAAAACATCATATGAGACGCGAAATTATAATGCAGCGGTATTTAAAATATTAGAGAAAAAAAAATGAGTTCATAATGCATCTGCTCAATAATGTTACATGCTCGAACCAGAAGTTTACAGGGGCACTTAAACTTTAAAGAGAATTCTCTTTGGGTAAGTCCATATTTAACTGTTGCCGACTACTAATGAGTGATCTAGCTATATTTATGGGTGAAAACGAAACGTTTTCACCCATAAATATAGCGTGCCACAGCTCTTTCAATCTATACAAATAACACACTGAAATATATAACACGAACTACAGACGAAAAAATGTCAAGAATTAAATAAGACAGACGACGTTAAAAAAGATTCAAAATGCCAATTGCCTAACACACACACGACTCACATAAATACGGTTAGGATAAACACAAATACATGACTTACTTTGCTCGTTCGGCCTCCAATTTTGATTAAGGAAGCCAAGCTGAACCAGTGTGTAATGGGATATATCTAAAAGTGATATGACAGAAAAATCCAGAAATCTCGTATTATAAAAAATTATGCTGCATTCATTTTGCAGTCTTTGTAGCGTCTACAAGCAGTCCATAGATTCCTCCACTGGGTTTCATACGAGAGACCACGGAAGAACAACTAACTTTAAATAAACCAAACCACTCCCATGCTCACTACGCGCCAAGCCTTTGCCAATCCAACGAACTGGCAGAAGATCAAGATAGATTACGATATATAATACAACTACTCTGAGACCTATAACATGTTTAATAGCTATATGTTGGAATAATGATTCAGTACGATGCTGAAGGTATTGTAATTTAATTGTTGTAAGGCGTTGTTAACACGTTAATTGCCAACTTTGGGAATGGGATGAGTTTCTTTAGTCGGTTCACTGATAGATTGTCTTCTTGTCATTACGTCGTACTTTGACAACAGTCTGACATTGCATGACAATCAGTATGATCATCATTTTTGACATTGCATGACCATTAGTTTTCTATTCTCACAGTTTGTTTCGAGAGTGATTTAAATAATTGTATGTATAAGTAATTTCTCGATTTCTTTCCAATGATTCCTAAGAAGACTGATTCTTAATATAAATGCAATTAATGACGAGTTCGTTGCTATACCTGATGATATTAAACATTATCAAGCCATTACTTTTTTAGATTAGCATTAAGATATTGCGAAGGTGTACAATTGACATCTGGTAGAAAAAATGTGAACTTGATTGGGAAGTCTTGGACTGAAATTGGGATAATCACTGAGATGTTAACACTAAATATGATGTGATTCATAAGTTCAGTTCCAAAAGACGTGAAAATTCCCTGGCGAGTAGTCTCTGTTTTGATGAGACTATCCCTATCATTGCTTTTATTGGATGCTTCCACTTTTATTTTATTATCAAGATTGGGTTAAGCAAAATCAACAATACAATTTGTTTTGCTGACTGAAAATTTTCAATTTTTCCATAAAAATAGTGGAGATTCAAAGTTGTGCATATTTTTCAAAGATCTTACATAAGCCAACACGGACGCAAATTTCGAAAAAAGGTAAAGAAAGAAAAATTATGTAAAGAAAATCGAACTGCAGTTCTAATTTGAAGGATGGAATTGCTAGAAGTACAGTTAGAAATCACTAAACCAGATCTAACACGTGAACATCTGCGACATAGTTTGCAGTAATGTTAGGATTTACCGAAGTCTGTGTTAATTGGAAATAAGGTCCTTCGGATTCACTAGATGTTTATTGGTTTATTTTTCTTATGTTTCAGAACCGGGAAAAAAATTATTCGAAATCGAAGTACTTCCCTAGGACGTCAGACCTGAAAATGGGTAAGAACCGTAATAACAGCAGTCATGGCTATGGCTTCTTCAATCCCTCCGATTCAAATCTGGGAGAGTTCTCTCACTCTCTTATTATAATAACCATTCAAAGAAGACTTAGCCTTCAACCAATCAGCTTGAATTATGTAACAGAGAGGAAGGGCTGCACGTGACCACACTTCCTCTGTTTACTAGCTGGAAGAATCGGGTAAGTGGAGGCAAAATACTCACCACCGTCTGTGAGACTTTGTAAACTCTGTCAATCAATTTCGTCTCGTACTCTTTACCCATACTACTGCAGATTTTATTGCTGAAGATGACATACCACCTCTTGTGTACTTTGATGTGCTATTGCAAACTGTTGTATTTTACACCATGTAACCGAAGTCGTAAGCTCACCAAACAGCCCACTTCGTTGTTATCTACGTTTGTTAATGATACAACCTTTCCCAAAATTCACAGCTGTGTATCATTTATTCATTCCCTTCCCGAACTGTTTCTTTCAGACTAGCTTGTGAGAGATAGCGAGGACAGTAGTTACAATTTTTACCATACAACCCAAATAGAGAACTTTACTAAAGTACTCGGACAATACTCAGTGACATTGTCAAATTATTGGCAACATAACTAAATTTGTTGATGATCGTTTCCTTATTCAAAAAATTGTGGAAGACAAACTGTTGCTATTTGTCACAACGGTTTTCGGATATATCTATATGAAAGGGTTGGTGAGGTCAATCCCGTCAATATTGGCGCATTGGCTCATTTTTCTCACCAGCACTTTGTTTAAAATTGATTCACAGCAGTTAATTTCCATTATGTTTCTTTTCTTTTTTTCTAAAATTTAACTACAACAGAGACCCAATTATAATATTTTTTAATATTTTTATTCAACAGCTTGCAGAAGGTAATCTAGTAGCAGCAGTTTTTACCAGTGAAATGGGCACCTCTATTTCAGCACTACTACCATGATTTAGATTTTAAGCACCGATTTGCAATAGTTTCTACAATATGTAGCAGTTCTGTTAATTATTCTTTCAATACAAAACATAAGTATTTTCTCTTTCTTGATTTACTTGAATCAAATGTAACATAATGAATAGATTCCTTCATATTTCATTTAGTCTTATTGATGCATTGGGAATGGTTGAACACGCTATTAATTAGCATTGCTTTTTAAGTCCATTCGATTTAGCTGGCAGTGTTATAATTCATCTCTATGGCTTTGAGTGTTACAGTAGTCGAAGTAGCTCGTTTTGATCAATCTGTTTCTGGGGGAAAAATTCTTTTCTAAATAGCTTTATTCGTTATTTACCGTTCGATCTTTCCCTGTTCTCAGTAGCTATTACTATGTTTCTCATTTAAAACATTTTTTAGGTAGGTTCTAAGTATCTTAAATAAAACAATAACAAATAAACAAAATGTTTTATCTGCTTGCAACAGAATTACTAGAAGCAACTGATGGAAATAGTCACTGAGAGAGAGAAGATTGCAGGAAGTGTACTATTTCTCAAGAGACTGTACACTGCCTTGTTTTCTTTTCGGAATCCACTCGCATGTATAGGATTTATCTACTACCTTAGCCTTTGAAATGGTTTCTAAGCTTATTTTACTTCTGAAGTATTAATGTTTAATCGACTGTCTTCATATACACAATTGCCGATGGCTGCTGTTTCAGCCTTCCATTTCAAATGCGATATGGTTGCTTATCTCAACTTCTTGCAAAAGCAATTCGATATCAATGTTCGACATCAATATTAGGACCTTTCTTCATTTTTTTTTTTTTTTTTGGACACAAGTTTTATCATTGCTTTTATGTATAATATTCGGTTTTCCATGTATAATATACATGTGATACTACCACACTAATTCATGATTGGAGTCTTATCTCATAACTTAAGACACTGCTTTTGTTTAGATAACTTGAGGCTTAAAATCACCGAGGCTTGATAATCAGTGGTGCCGCTCCCAGCTTCTAGGGTCATACATGCCAAGAGTCATCGCACATCCTGTGGAGATCTTGCCAGGTAGCGAAATGTGAATTAGGGATACAGTTTTCACAGTGGGGAGTGAGGTTTGGTTGGTTGATGGCCACTGGTCGGTCGGTTGTTGTTTTGACGAATGAGGATGCATCGATTATGGATGAAGGGCAGTGGTGACACGAGAGCGCTGGTATGGATGGGTAGCAATGTCGATTGCTCCTTCTTCATTGGTGTTTATATAGGTGTACTTGATTATTATACCTGAGGGGGGAATAAGAGTGCCTTCGAGCAATTAATTAGTGTCCAGCGGTATTCCACATCTCTAATACTTGCTCTCTTTTCTAGAAATAATCTCTTCGTTTCTAAAATTTATTTGCTTTCATCTGTGTATATATGTGTGCGTGAGCTTTCTGATAATTCAGGCGTGAATTGCTGAGTATTTGGCTGCTGTAATCAGTAATCAGTGTAACTGTCATGTATGATTTAATTTCATTGGGGATTCTTCTGCTACTTTTTGGTAACACACAGTCGCAGGAGGAATGTGTCACAGCGTGCATCCAGACGCAGACCACTGAAAAGGTCGTTTTGATTCTTGTTTGTTTATTTTATAGTATCTATATTTCTACTATCCGGTGGTTATTGGTAAATATTCAGCAGGTTGCTTCAAAAACCTGAATTAAGTTACAAGTTATGTCTTTTAATAAATGGACATAATTTCAGTCCCAAGCCGCATGCAAGGAAGGATGTCGTCTGCAAATAATTTTTGCATTTGCTTCCAACAGCGACATCATATCGGCGAGGGAAGATTGTTATAATGGTTGTGCCAAGTCATACAATGATGATGTTGAAAAGCAGTCGTGCTCATTTGGCTGTGATAAACAACCAGATATGAAAAAGTCTGGAGTGGGTTACACTTCACTATATCACATAGTAAAGATAGTAATTTAGTATTAGACCTAGCTCTAGTGGTGGAGAAAGTCATGCAGCAATTTTAATTTTCTACATCGCTGTTTTAGTGAATGCTTCTATTTTTTATTTTTAATATATTAGCCATATTAAAAAAAAAAATATTTATTAGAAAAAATTTCAGATAAATGGTTTCAATTCAATACCTAGCTAAATTCAAGTCTTTTGTCATGCAAAATTATAATTTTAAAGCCGTCAAGCTTTAAAATATCTTTTATTATTAGTTTCTAACGTTCTTCTTTGCAGATTCGTATATCAATAACAAATAAGAGTCCTACATTTCAAGTGGCTCGGGGAGCTATGGAGAAGATGATGCATCGCATAAGCAATTCATTCCCATCATTGGGGTACTTTTATTCCCATTTCAAATGTTGAGTGTTCAAGTCTTAGCTACCCAAATCAAACAGTTCTTTTTGAATATTATAAACTAGATTTACTAAATTCCATGTATTTCCGAAAAGTTATTGCTACGAAACTTGAAGTAGATGCTTCTAACTTTTTATGCTTTGCTTAGGACTTTTGCGAAAAGTTTGTGATTTCAGTGATATGTAGTATACTTAACTGAAGATCCTTCCTCTGTCTGCTTTTCTATTAAGCAAAAAAATTTATCAGTGTTGTTGAAAACGGGAGAATAAAACGGGAGTCTTTCAGCAAAGAAAAATGATCGTATGATATATATTGTGAAACAAAAGCACTAAAAAGATTTTTTTCTTGTGCGTTTATTTAGCGTACATCTGATGTTAAGGGATTTAGAGTCTTAACTTTTTCTAGTTCGAGTATATTAGGTTTTGTTGGGTTTCTTTTGTGGAAATATTAAATTTCTTACACATTCTTGTTCGGCGGAAAAACTTCGTTTTAGTAGCATATGTGTAACTATTTTGCTTAATGATTTTTATACTTAATGATATAACTTAATGATTATCTTTTTACAAGATCATGATCTCATAACTTATATCCTTTTCTCCAGTTGCAGTGGCTAGACACTTTTTTGGAGAGATCGAATCCTCGTGAGAAATGTTAGCGCATATCTTGTATTTCCAATAATTAAAAACAGGATTGTCTAAGAATAGAGTGATGAAAGGAATCTCAATAATATTTTTAAACAATTTCTTTCTTGTTCTCGTCTAAAATTTGATCAAATTCTAGGGGATTTGGTTCGACATCTTCAGAGGAACATGGTGAGCGATTTTGGGAAGATCATTTTGCTCAATTCCATCTTCAAATGCAAAATGAAATGGCACGACTCCACCAAATTGCTCAGAATGTTCTCAATTTGCAACGTGCGGAAACTGTTATGCCAGTTATTGCTAAGAACAGACCAGAGGGACATGAGGAGAATGCAGTGGAAGGTTTCTCGATTTGTTCATATTGATATTTAGTTCAAAGTGCTCCTCTTTAAATAACTTTTTAGGATTTTACGTTGGAAACAATGACAAGAATGGTGAAAAAATTATGGAAGTGAATCCAGTAGAATTGAAGAGTAAAGAGCAACGGCTTCTGGAATATGAAGACGGAAATCCAACTGTTATTGACAACCCGGTTAGTTTCAGGATTCCTTTCTTTTTGTAGATTTCGTTTATTTGCCTGTAGGATATTATGTTTGGTGTCATCCACTTTTATATTACTGTTATGTGACTAAAAGTACTTATTGTAGGAGTCTTCACTTCTCTCTCGGCTAACGTCACGAGCTCGTCGTCTTTCAGTGCTTAGTCAATGGCTTGTTTGCGTTGCGCTTTTCCTTTGTTTTATTTCAATGCTTTCTATTTCGGTAGCAGTTTTGAAACAGATCAAGTCACAAAAATATCTTAATCTAAGGGTAAGGACTCTTTATCAGAATAATAATTTTGTAATGATTTAAGCTGTAAAACAGATTTTCTACCGTAGTGGTCCGGAAAGGTAAATCCACTTTACTATCTGACTTTTGTGTCAAAACACTTCAAAATTTGCTGCAACTCACTATGAATAAGGTATTCCAAGATACTTCGTTATAGAACATGCATTCGGTTGTCCCACCAACATTCGCTGATCCCCTTGCGGCAAAGAAAATACCACTCGAGACGACAGCTGTAGTAACCGATTATCCACTGATCCACGATTCTCCTCCTCCGGCTTATGATCAACTTTCAGTTCATAAGGAGAAACCTGAAAACATTGACAATTCTGACCGGAAAGTTTAAACCTGGTAATTGTTTATTCTTGAAATTGTGGTTGGTCTTTTCACTTCATATGATCCATTCCATAAGACGCTGTCGCTCAAGTTGACATTTCGTTTCCTAATTATGACTTTTCAGTATTAAAATTATAATTTGGAAATTGTGACCAAAATTTCAGGCTTTCATTTGGCTACTGTAACTTCTGTTGTCTGCTTTTATTTTTGATAATATTACTTCATTTAAATTGTATTTGAAGAAGAATGACTTGATGTGATTGCGTACTTTATGGATTAACATGTTTTATATGAATGCAGTTTTTGAAAAAAAAAAAGAAGTAATTGGTTATTAGTTCCATATCTTCTAAAATAGTACCTTTAAAAATCTATCACTACGTTGCGCTTTGGTCGTTCCGACATAATTGTACAGATATCTTTCTATATTTTATTGGGTCGTATGTAAATGGCATTGGTGTATATTTTTCATTTTTTTCAATAAAATATTAGAGGATAGTACGCAATGTTTGATTACTGCGTCTGCACGGTTTGGTTATATAGATATTTATTTGAAAAAAAAAAAAAAAACTCCTTGATAGTAGTATTTAATATATTTCTATTTAATATAATATATTTCTTCACAGTTTTGTAATCAATAAGAAATATTGAACACAAACTTGTTGCGATTCACCACTTGCTTATAATGGCAAATATTACTTGATTTTGGTAAGAAGGATGGCATGCTCTGCTTAGAAGAATTTATGTGTTGCAAGTATAGTAACGCACGTCTAGACTTTGTTTTTGATAGAGTATTGAATGTATAAGTGCGACATTTATTAACAGATATTAATATCTTCGCGTGATTAGAAGGGTATTAATACCAGGCATCGTGAATTGCAGCTAAATGTTTTGGGTTTTACTGGAAAATGTTGAGGTGTCCTTAAAATTTCGAGAAGTTCTTAAGTGTTCTTATCTTTCATACTTTTGAATCCTTTTACATAAACTGTTCCAATCTAAACGGATTCTGCTTATTGTCATATCTATACACTTATTGCAGACATTTACCGAGTATATATACTCCATTAGCATTAATACATTACTAATGAGGCTATTGTTTTATAGTTGTAAGAAGTATTTCATTTCGGTATATGAAATGTCTAAGTTTCATTTATGTCTGGATGATCATGCTGATTGCGACGATAAGTTGAGTATTAACACAGCCTATGCAAAGCGCTATGACAATTGGCGACATTTAGAGGAATTGCAAAAACGTTCGTTTGATAATTTAATTAATGAATAATGCCATTTTGGATGTTGTGGAAGGGAATGGAATTGGGAATATAAACAAGTTCTTTAAAATAATTTAACGAATTGTCGGAATATAAATATTTTTTTGAATTTGAAAGTTATTTAATTTCTCATAACTAATGAGGCTATTCAGATTAACTGTGTCAGATTAACTGACGAAATAGAACTTAGACTTTTTGGCAATTTGCAGTGAAAAATAAGTATGGTAACGATGTGAAAGATGACGATGACGCAAACAGCTCGTCTAGTGAAGAACCTGCTGTAAGTCTATGTTATTTTCTTTTGTGGTCACAATTGAATACTGGGTGCTATTGTGTGTCAAGCTGCATTTTTTTAGGCACTTTTACTAAGGACGCATAATGGCATTACTTTCAAAGCTTTTTGGTTTTCTTTTTCTCAGCTGTTGTTGATGAATGAGATCATTAGTAGAGGTCATTACATAGTGCTTAATTAATTTCTAATGAAAAAAAAAGGTATAAGTTATAAAGTATGTGTTTATACATTTTTTTTTTTTTTTTTGTTTTTGGAAATATTTGGAAATTGGGAAATATTTGAGGATTTCAGATATGGTCAGTAGAGCACGAAAAAGATTTCCTTCGTACACTGTCTGCTTTAAAAACTCATGATCCAAGGTTATATTCGGGTCAAAAATTCTTCACTTCTGAAGATAAAAGGTTGGTAATTCTATTGTTTTCGCTTCCGATGTTAGCTAATAAAATCCTTCGATCTTTTACCATTCATGTACTGAAAAAATCAAAAAACTCGGCACTGAATATTCTCTTAATGTTTGCATATGTTTCCTACACTTACATTTTTTTTGAAGTCTATGGATATATATTTTTCAGAACTTCTACTGATAATATCGTCAAATTAAAAAAAAAAGACGCTCCGATGTTTTTGAAAGATTACGAAAGAAAACTTATCCTTGAAAGACAAGGGTAAATTATTTTATTCATCTGATTGTTTATATGTGTAATATACAAATAAACATGGTAATTATTGTTTGTTACGATACAAATTAATTTTTTATTTGTGTTTTAAAAACTTTTGTTGTTGTGTTGCCATTCATTAGTTAACCCAAATGCTTTTATAGGGATATCAGTGAAGATGAGAAAGAAAGGAAGACTTCTAAGCATGGCTATTACGAAGAGCAGGAATTAATAAAACGAGAGTATGCTTTTGTTTTTATTTCATGTTTAATTCTGTTATACTATCCTAACTGATTTACTTTTCAGTGGTGAGATATTCTGTTTCTAATTTTAAAATATTGTAGATTAAAAGCCATGCTCGCCGAACAAAATGATGATATGGAGCCATTATTGCGGCACCGTATTAAGACTGAAAATGAAGTGGTAGATTACTTCATTGCTCCTTTTTATTGCTGAAGAGTGCTTATGGAACTTTTTTATATAGAGATGTTTCTTTCATGAAATAATTAGCATTACATATGTTTGCTAATCGAACAAATAAATAGGAGCAAATGTTTCAGAAAAATGAAGAAGATCAGTATTATGGATGGTTGAAAGGACAAAGGGATGAAGATCTTCCTGGTGTTGAAGAACTGGTGCTTAATATTTCTTCTGTCGCTTGTCTCAGATATTTATAATTTCAGCGTAACTTTATCTTAGTAGAGTCCGTTGTTTGATCTGTTCTAGTAGTTTGCTTCAATTATCATTTTCAGAAGGGACTCAAAGAAGCATGGAGTGATATGAATTTAGACGAAAATGAGAAATTTCTGCGTGATTACTTGCTGAACAAAAAATATGATGTTGAAGGCAATGATGAGTAAGTTTTACTTGCATGGTGGAAAATTCGAGCTAGTTCACTTTTTATAGATAGGACTGAAATAGAATATATGTTTTCACTGCTGTAAATGTCAGAATTCCTTGCTACACAAATCCCATCAATAATCATATTAAATGTATCTGCTTGTCCTTATTTGCTAATTTGCTATGCAATTCAGTGTTCCATCGTATGAAGAAATTATGAACGTCGAAAAGGATGAGGAAGAGTTAGAAAGAGAGGACGAGTTTGAGAGGAAGTATAATTTTCGATATGAGGAACCTGATCAAGATTTTGTTAGTTATTGTTTGTATTCATGAATATCATTTGAATACAAGGAATGCTCTGCACTTGTAATATGTAAGTTTGGGTCAGATGTATGCCCGTGTTTAATTGAAGGGCAGTTTCTTTTCTCATAATTAAAAAGTTACTTGAACATAAGTTTAGCTAGAAAGATTTCTCTATATAAGTTTGAGAGAAAAGACTTCGAAAAGACAAATCTTTGAAATTTTGTTAAATACAAAGTCCAATATTTTCAGATTAAACATTATCCTCGGATAGTAAAACAGTCTTTGCGAAAAAAGGATGAACGTCGGAAACAAAAAAGAGATGCATATAAAGAGCGTAAAAAAATGCAAAAACAGATTCGGAAAGATGAAATTAAAGAATTAAGAACTTTAAAAAAAAAAGAAATTGAAGAAAAGTTAAAAAAACTGAAGAAATTAGCTGCGGACGACGATCTCCCACTTAACGTAGATGATTTGAAAGCAGATTTCGATCCTGTGGTTTACGATAAACGCATGAGAGTATGTTCATGGTACTCTTGTTTCAGTAATTGTTTACAACTTTGTTCTACAACACTGTTTTACAACTCTTTTATTGCTTTTTCATGTTGAAATTTTTCTCTCAAAACAAAGTGATGTTAATGTTTTATAGGAAGTTTTTAATTCTCATTACTATGAAAAAGCTATGGAAGAAAACGAAAAAAAACCCGTTTTCTCTGATACTTCCGATATTTCAACCGACGATGTTAGTTTACGATAATTGATTTTTTTCTTTTTACTTACATAGTATGTTTTGAATATCTTAGTAATAAGAATATTCTTGTTACTGTCAGCTATTCGGCTGTATTGCTTTATTCTTTTTTCTGCAGTCAGATTACGACACTTTCGATGTGAATAAAGGAAGGAAAGATAAAGAAAGCGAAAATATTAGCGAGGATTGTAATGGTAGTGAGGTGTTGCATCCTGAAATGAAATCAAGTCGGAAAAAAAGGAAAAGAAATTCGCGTTTTCTAGATATTGTTCTTAAAAAAAAACCCATATTTAATCCAGGTTGTTTTTTGGAAATATTGTTTTTCATACTAATTTTCTCTACGATCAACAGTATTTTATATCATTTATAGAAGAGAAGTCATTTGAAGAATATTTCAACGAATACTATGCACTTGAATATGAGGATATAATTGGTGATGGCTTAATAACTAAGTTTAAATATCGCAGTGTGCCAGCTAACGATTTTGGAATAACAATTGATGAGGTGACATATTTTATGCTTTCTTCGCGTCCTACTCTTTAACAGTATGTACCGATTACTTATGTTTATTGCTAAACGCGTACTTATAATAGAAATTTAAGTGTCGGAATGTATGAAAGTAAATCATCATGATATGGTTTTAGATATTGCTTGTATCAAGGCGTTTGTGATTTGTTAAACGTTTTTCAGCTATTAAATGCGGATGATCGACAGTTAAACGCTTGGGCATCATTAAAAAAAGCTACAGCTTACCGTTCAGAAGCCGAAGAACTATATGACATTAAAGCGTACAAAAAGAAAGCACTAAACTTACTGAAGAAAAAGAAAATTTTCAGCACCGATTTTGGAGGGTATTGCATTATTTGTTAATTTATTTTCATGGAAGAAGAGATTTAGAATATCAACGAATTGAAAATTAGTAATGCTGATCGTTCTTTATTGTAAATAATTTGATATTTTAAATTCTAAAGCTATTTTATTATTTTCTAATTGTAATTGAAAGTCAAGAAAAGTACTTCTGTCCAATGAAATGAATTTTGACTGTCAAAATGCATTTGTTCTGACTCTGTTTACGGAATCTAATTGCAGGAAGAACTCCAAGAAATTGGCTGACAATACTTGTAATATATTTCAAATGGATAAAGCAGCTGAAAAAAGGAAGAAAAGTAATGGAAAGTTTCCTGATTTGAAATCGACAAAGGAAGGAGGAAATAGCGTTGTAGCGCAAGAAGTGAGTTATGAAGTCCATTTCTTGCAGTTATTAAATCTTACAAAAGGTTGTTGGTCGAATAAAATTTCGAGCGATACATGATACTACAGCACGCTTCGTGGGAACTGTTTAACATTATTTAGCATAAAAGGGATTGATCAGTAGACAATAATTTTCAGGAAATTCATATTTTTTTGTAACAGAAATTCTTGAGCTTTGAAATGAAATTGAAATTATGAAGTTGAAAATGTAAGGGGTTGACGATGATTTTTTAGCGTGTTCAATTTCCGAGTCATTTAAAAAATCCGCATAATCGTAAGAATCACAGCAAATTCCAGTGGTCTGATTCAACAGTTGGCATTGATGATGATAGACTTCGTGCTTATGGCATTAATCCAAAGAAGTATAAGAATAAATTGTTTCGCAAACAATAAATCTGTGCATGTCAAGGTGTTAAGACGTGTTAGTAATGACTTTTTTATTCTCATTTTCATTTTGTTGTTTTTTTTTTGTTTTGTTTTTTGAGCTTCCGAGAAGCATAAAATACTGTTTACGCACGTCATATGCATACAACTTGACGCTTCCATGAAAATTTTTGTTTTATTTGCAATAAGTCGTCTTAGATATAGATGAAGTGACGTTATTGGACAACGTCTCCGATAAATGTAGGCAATCTTGGTCGAATGGAGGACGGTGCTGTTCAGCTCATTTATGGAATCACTATAATTCAGAACTATAAAAAAACCGAGCAAGAAAGTGCTGACTTATCCTGTCATTCAACAACACACCAACCGTGCAATGCAATAAATTCAAAGGCGCTTTTTTAATCACCAGCAACATCTATCGGAGAGCAGAACAAACTATATAAGTGATGTTCACAAACGATATACTCTTGAGAATGCCCGACTAGTTAAAGTATGTAGTTGCACACTACACATAAAAATTCAAATTGCTTGGTTTATTGTCAATTATTTGATTTCTGTGGGCTCACGTAAAAGCCAATTGTTTCCCATCTCGCGTAAGATCACTGTAAATCTTCACAAGCGTCAAATATTTTAAAAAAAAGCTTTCACTGCGCGATATTTGAAAAAGACTACTAACACCTAGAATGTGACTACTAAAGTTACAGCAAAGTAAAAACCCGAATTTCACTTATCTCTTAACAATGTCAGAACTGTTCATGCCTTAAGTTATATATTGCTTTCTATCATGATGCGATGATAATATAAATAGAACACGCACCCAACTGAAAATTAACTTTATTCAACATAGGACGAAAATCAGTTCCAAAACACAAAACAGTTCCAAAACTAGCAATAATTCTAGTCAAAAGATTGGAGAAATGAGCTCGCAACAATGACTCGCAACAACTGAGATCACTGAGTAGGAAAAATTTTCCCATTTTAATCAGGAAAAGCACTTTAAGCTTTACTGAATCTAAAGGAAAAAACTTGCTTCAAACAAGAAATGAAAACATAAAATAAATTCATTGCCGAAGAATAATCATTACAATTTGGAAAAGCTGTAAAGAGATTGGCATAGTCATTATTGCAAAAGTGGCTGGATGAATTCGATGTGACAGGACAACTTTTAGCCTCCCACGTAGAAGACTTTTAGAAGATGAGCAACTACAGCGGCATCATCCATTTCAAAGAAATATAAAGACCCATCCAGATGTACTTCACACTCTGGTTAGGTGAAAAATGAGTCTAAAAACATTTATGATAAAATAAAGCGAAAACAAAGTGAAAAGAACGAAATTTTAGGGTTTGAAAGAAAAGAATACGCCACTTCAGGTAAACAAAGCACATCCATTCTTTATAGCAATAAAAAAGAGTAATGATAATTTCAGCAATGAACGATGCAACAGTACTAAAAGCTTGACTATTTCAGGCCCAAAACTTATATTTCAATTTATTGGCTAGTTCTGCAGACATCATCGGGAAGTAATCCTCCGAACCATCGTTCGTAAAATGACCTCTTCCGTCACTATCACTCGATGTTGAACCGTTATCATCGATAACATTTCTGATGATATATTATGTAAAAAAGTAGAAATGTATTACGCACGCAAATTAAAAAACTATTCCTTACAATCTGATGTATTCAAGCTCCATTTTGAACAGCAAATTTTTACAATAAAAAAAAAGGAATAAAATATCGTTAAAGTACTGATCGTTAACAAACATTATTTCCAATTTAAAACTGAAAGCCCGACTCAAGTATAAAATATAAAGCTATGCTTACTGTTCAGTCTTAAAATTATTTCGTCCTCTTTTAGCGAGATCAGCAGCAGCATAAAGATGCGCCGGTAAAGATATTGGTGAAGTGACAATACCATGGGCATAACACAGAGCATTTGTTACGCCTTCTAATTCATCCATTGACATACGAGGTTCGTCATCAATTAGAACTGTGGCACGCACAGGACGTGCAGTACCCTGCAGAAGTTTAAATCGCAATACTAAGTTCCAAAAAGACATTCGGTAGTTATCAAGCCAGAAGTTATCTCTAATAAAGCCAATTGTATTCATAACAAACATCAGTATTACACTAAAGGGGTCTCTTTCATACGCGGAAAATTTGGCTGTTGGATGAACCAAACTCAAAGTTTAGTTCACCCCACAGCGCCAGTTCTGCTTACCAAAAATGATCCTATTTGGAGGAAATATCTCATATTTACGAGTTATACTCATTGAAAGTTTGAGAAAAACATAAAATTTACAAACCATGATAGATTTATGAGGAACAATAATGAACTCCGTGTGGGTTGGATGAACAACATCCACATCTATAATTGTACCAGGTGGGACATTTTGCTGAGAGGCACTTCCCTGTTGAATATGCTCTGGGTAAATGCGATAATTTGAATGCGCCTGCATGACAACAATTGTAAGACGAACGCGTTCCGCATGACCATCAGCTGCCGCAATAAAAGCTTCACGAAACTGTCTACCCTCCTCATTAATGATCTGTAACAAATTTGACAAACAAATATGACATAAAACAGTAACTAAACAGAACTTACATCCTCATTATTCCCGAAACCTCCAAAAAAACTTATTTAAAATTATAAACCATTTCTTTCTTCGGTTCAACGGTTGAGGATATTCTCTAAAATTTTATTAATGTTTGTTCATAGGTAGCATAAAAGAAATCTAGAGAGTCGTCGTACTTATTTTTGGAACCCCGACCTTTGCATACTCTCCTTCCGAAACACCACTACGAAATACAACGACATGTTCCGGTAAACATTTCGCCTTCGATGTATTTCTGAACGACCTAACTGCTCTTTCGACATGTTCTTTCAAGAATTTAACAACATGAAGGCGCGGCTCCTGCATCCAGTATTCACCCTGCATTGCAAATGGTTCGCCACATGAGAACGTCATCTAAAATAAAAAATGACAGTAACGGACAGAAATTAAATGACCTAACCAGCCATAAGGCTTTAATTTAGTCAAGTATATAGATGATAAGTTTTCAAAAAAGAAGTGTTAAAAAAGCACAATCTTACAGCAACAATAGTTGGTTCGCTGGGTGGAACCTGAGCCTGTCGTTCATAGAGTGACTGCGGTGCTGCATGTGACATGTCGAGACCAAAAAACATTCTAGAATGCCGCAGCCACTCCATATCCCTATAAGAACTTACAAATTGTTAAACCACATCCAAAAGGCAAGAACCTAGAAATTTTATTGAAGATATACGATGGCATAGTATGCCAAATTGTTGTTTTAATCTGTACACACTGTATAAAATAGCTCCAGTTCTGCAGTGGGGAGATTGAAGAAACTTTAAAGTAGTTTTTTAGTCCTGTTTTTATTGTTACATTTAACCTACTTTATTTTTATAATCATGCTCGCTTGAAAATTCTGTCGAAACAACCTTCGCAATCTATAAGAGATTGGGACCGGAACTGATCTAAGTTAAGAATGCTAAATCGACTTTGATAATGCTCAACTAGTTACTAGTTTCAAAACAAACAGTCGTATTGATAAAACAAACATGACATTGTTGGTAAGACGATTTTTGCTCAGGAAAGCAGCAGATGAGGTAAGAGCATGATTTATACCACCAAGCTTTAGATTCATTTTCATGACTAAGTTATCCAGCGTCATTTCAGCACCACGATTGCTGATTGCTTTAAAGAGAGTACTAGAACAAATATGCTGCGTTACCACACCGCATTTAATTTCTGTCAGTTTCATTGCATCTAAAAATTATCATCGCTTCCTAATAAGTGTTTTGAAAATATGAAATAATGAAATGACAAATCTATTAAATACAAACTAATGAACTTATAAAATCAATACCCAACTGGAATAACCTTCATTACAAGCTTTGATAAGTTCTAATATTGGAAACAATAAAATCTATATTGGAAACAAAAAAATTGATAATAGATAAGTTGTGATGCTAGAAAGAAATGAAAACTAGTTTACCATGCACAGGGTCATATCTATCTTTTGTGATGAACAGAATATACTCTACTCCATTCCTACGCATAAATTCAATCTTCTCAATGAGGAAATCCATATCAGTGCGGTCATACTCTTCGGAACGTGATGGATTCGGCATTTGTATACCATGATCACGAGAACGATTGACAAATGCAGCGATGAAGCGACTGGAACAAAAAAACTTAAACTGCAAATACAATTCACCTTTCTCAACGTTTTTAAATTTACTATTCCCAATTCATAATTATACAAAAAACTGAAGACTGACTCTGCAGATTGTTGGTCTGAAGCGTTGTGAAACATAAAAACAACCCAACGACGAGGAGCAGTTGCAGGTTTAAAAAAAATTTTATTCTGCATGCCACGAGGGACTGAAAGACGCCAATCAAGGTCACCACTTGGGCTCGGTTCAACTTTGCTATTTTTATAAACAATTGCTGGAGGGAATTGCACAACAGCATCTCCTGCACGTGGAGTACTAATGACGTGGATCTGCAACAAGTTTAAATATCTGAAGGTAAACTAAATGAAATATAGTTCAGAACCTAAATAAAGGACAAACTTCAGTACAAGTTTAAATTATAAGAAAAATATGAGAGAGCAAGCAGCCAAGAGTGAATACATCAATTGAGAATGTATAAAAAAGCAAAACATCAGTATATATGTATAAATAATTCAATAAAACAATACTAACTCCCAGACTGTGAAGATATGGATTTTCATTAGTAATTTGCGCTCGGCAACGTCGATGTTCATTTTCATTCTTCAAGTTCATGGGTAAAAGACGACAATTTTGGATGAGGTCATCAACCTGGAAACAATCAAAATGTAATGGTATAAAAGATAATTAATTATATACATGGATTTCCAACTATGAAGCCAGATAAAAAAATCATAGTACATCAGGAAAAACGCGTGAATGAACCTTCTTGAAACAGCAACAATGATCAATAAATTCCTAGCATTTAATCTAAACACCAATATTTCAACAACATGAGTGAAGTGTTTTAATAGTGAATTTTGCATGATTTTAATAACACACAGGAAAAGAATTATCTTGAAAATGTTATGACATGTGCAATAGGTCAGAATAAAAAACATGCATACCAACGTCTGAAAATTATTAAGTGAAAAAAAATCTAAAGAATATGCCCGTTAAATCAATATAAGAATGAGGCACTCACTAATTCCGGTGTCTGCTTTTTAGTGTCAACACGTTGTCCTCCGACAACTTCCAAGAACTCCATAGGATGAAAACTGTTGTGTGGAAGTTTGTCTTTGCCACCAACGCGTCGCTCAATTATACAAGGCAAACCCGGATAACGTAATCTACGTTGGTACTTATACAACATGTAGGCCGCCACAGTTGTATCCTGATTGTTGACCGGAATAACCAATCTGAAATGTGTTGAAAGGGATCATAAAAAATTAGTAAGTATTTGGGAATCCATACATACACATCCCCACATTGCTTAAAGCAACATGTTTTCAGGATTTAATAAAAAATTGTCTCAAGAACAATTCTACCCTGCATCCTACAACTCTACGGCCAAAAATGTCAAGTAATTGCTGACTAAAAAAATGCCAAAGCAAAAAACATGAATCTTAATGAAATAAACAAAATAATGAAAACGTGACACACCTATCTGCAGTTGCAGCTGTCATACCAAAAATACAGAAAAGTCGTTGAGTTTCCAAATGAGTTGTACGTACAACAAGATCTAAAATCCAACTGCTAACAAATTCAAATTTCAATAATAAAATGTGATATTAAGATATAAAAAAATAAATATGAAATAAAAATACCTTTCAACTGCCGTGCAACTCGTGCTCTCAACTTAGCGTCTTCGATAAGCATTTTCGGATGTGCTCGATTGCATAACGTGCCGACAAGTTCCACCAAGGGTTGCTTTTTGAAAAACGCTGCTTTCCTTGCTGAAAAATTCAACGTACACAAGAAGTCACAAAGAATTACTTATTATGAAACTACTTGAGCTCAAATAAAGTAGAAGGAACCCTTTCATTAAAACAAAACAAAAATTTTACCGTCAATTTGCACGACAGGCATTGCCTGCTCCCATGAGTTACCAACGAAACGCACGTTTTTTTCCATACCTGCGGTCAAAACTTTACCACCACTAACTCCAATATCATGGTCACTGGGGCAATCATATGCCTTATTCCGAAAAATTAAATGACTCTGTCTGAAATCACAAATTTCTGTAGGAAGGAAATTCCTATAATAAAGCTCGCCTTAAAAAGTTAGCCTTGCACACACAGAAAGACTACCATTGTGAAGAAAATGAGCAAAAAAAAAAAGAAAAAAAATTAACATACTCATGAAGCATCATTTGTGAAGTAGCTATTTCCAAAAATTGCTGAAGTGATCGTTCTCGAGCACATAGATCCGCAGAAACAGCTGTAGTCTGATGCAAGTTGATTTCTTCACATGGTAGCAAGCGAGCAACCAATCCAATAATTCGTTTACTCAAAAATTCTCGTGTTTCTTGGGGCAACAATTCCTTAAAGATAAAAGTATTATTCCCCGTTGATATTTAAAAATAAAGCATGCAGTGATGTAATAGTATACCAAACCAGTCATAATCTTCGCAGACTTCTGGAATAAGTACAGAAATTTCAGTGCTAAACTAGTTCCAAAAATGTTGTTCCAGTTAGAAAAACATGTGGAAGACAAACGTTATATGACAAAAAACAAGCAAAAAAAAACATACGACACTGATCTTGAATTCCTTCTCGCCTTCGGAACGATCATAAAGTTTATTTACAGAATAGAAATTAATTCCGCAATCATAGAAATATTTTTTCAAATCGTTACCAAAAATATCTTCATAGCTTTTCAGCAACTGCTGATAAATGGACCACAGAACTCTATGGCGAAGAGCAACAGCCACACTGAAATAAAATGAATTACGTACGACGAATGAATTATGTACGACCAACATGAACTGATAAAACTAAGCAAGTGACTATGAAGCACTAATAAACACAAGGCGTACTCATTTTTCGGACCGCGGTGAAGTTCTTTTTCTTTTGCATCACTTTTTATACCGTAGATTTTCAGTTCAAACTTATATACTTTTTCAATAGCTTTCGACATGTCTAATTCGTAACCATTGACACAAACACGAAATCTGTTTGCATGGTTGTAGCGGTTTATCTGACGAGGCTTCGCTAAAATGCAGTGCATATTTCTAATAATACATCGCAATATTAATCAAATGAAGTCATGCATAAATACTTGAGCACTTAAAGTAGTACCGGAATAAAAAAGAAATGCTAAGAAAAAAATAAAAAACTGCTCCATCCATCGAAAGACCATAAAAATAAGTTATTTACCACTTAAAAAAAAAAAAAAAATTGCTTGATAATCACAAATGAAAGTTTCAATAAATAAAAGAATGGAACCACATGCCTGGCATAGTTACACAAGTGATTTCTTCTATTATCTTTCCGCTTTTATTAATTTTCGTTACATCCATTTTCTGCAAAAGACGAATCTGATGAATTGAACGTATCTTATAAATTCTATACCATGCTCTATATCCTACCCAAAACTCAGATAAGCTTAATCTGAACAGCTTATCTTTATAATAAACCTTTGATGTTGGATGGAACTCTTCACATGATTAATCAAAAAATAAAAGTGCAAAAGAAAGCATATTAGTTTGCTACAGAGACAATTTTGGATGGATGATATCGGGGAAAGATCTAACCAATCTTGTTAAGAGTTCCTATAAGAACAAAGACATTTGTTGACCAACTAACTGTCTGGAATAAAGCAAAAGGGACTAAATAGATACTACGATGAATCAGTAAAGTAAGCACAGAGATGGATGTAAATACCAGCGATTTAATAATCACATCCATAGCCAATCATCGTTATCCATCCATCCATCATCCGCTCGACAACAATGCACAAAAGACACTGAACACAGGACCACTTCCCATGATAACGTGCACTCTGCAAATATGTGCAATCATCTCAGTACTCTAACATTGTCTGTTTATTGTACGTCATTTGCACGTAATCTCCGATAGGGAAGAGGTATCGGTCGGAGCAAGCCGATGTCATTGTATGTTAATGTTACTATGTAATTTGCATAAATCTCAACAGGGGTGAAGAAATGAACTGCGTTGGCCATTAAAATTTAAATTAACGTTTGATTGACATGTTTCAGTGCAGAATAAAATATAACAAACTAGGTTCACATTCCAGTTGCGAATTCCTCCTGACCTCCCTCTGCTCCTTAAGAGAAGTCTTTGCTTCTAAATCCAAAACCTTGAAATTAGCGACACAAGCATTTACTGCTCTTCGTTGTTACCATAACTTTTCTGTCTGTAGCTTCGCGAGTTATTCAGATTTTGTTATATGAGTGATTCAAAAAATGATTATTGCCGTGAAAGTCTTTATTTCGTTTCACGATATCACATACTAATATTTTTGACAAAGGTTTTAATGATTGCAAAGGATTTATTTTTCATATACTTTAAAAAACAGCTGTCAAAGAATATTACAGGTAGAATCGACCACCAGATTGTTCCTCACTATTGTTAATAGAAAAATTTTGATGGGAACTTAATGTTATCAACTTAATCCCTAATGAACTAAACCTTTATCGAAAAGGATTGAAACATTTCTATGATCTATTTTTATATCGTAGAAATTTGTACTACAATGATTTTTATTTGAACATTTCTCAGATGAATGACTCATCATACAAAATTAAATAAAACAACTGTTTCAAACCAAAATCATTTTTTACCTACTTTTTTAATCAGCTTTAATTTACTACGTAACTAAGTTTATACGCATTGTCTAAAATATTTCAGTTTATTAAAAAGAACGTGCACTGCATGAATCTCTCCAAATTCATTGTAGAGATGTTCCAGTTTAGGTGATTAAAAGGTTGTAAGCTTTCTGTATTTGTTTTTGTTATAAACCACAATATTGTAACATCTTAATACCATACAAGTTAGTTCTCATTTGAGTTTCTTCCACAAATTGTACTAATAATCACATTTTACCACCCCTTTACTAAAAGATAACCTCAACTAAAGAAACACTTAACGAATTTACTAAAATACAACATCAACGAATGAATCCCAACGAATTTTCCCAACACTGACTCTGCCCACAACATTATCTATTGCTCTAGAGCGTCAACCAACAATTCCAGTCCTGTGCCAACAATCAAACAAACAAATTTCCACTAAACCTTAAATCCTCGTCAGATCTTTCCTACCAGTGACAAAAACTAGTGGTCCTTTTACCTGTGATATTCTCAAATAACTCTCATAACGATTACGAGAAAAATTCTGCGTCAATTAACAAAATTTTTGTCGCAACTATTTGCCTATGGTAATTGTCAAAAGAATACTACCAGTTAATTAATGGATAATTATAATGAATTGTTTGGTAATCAGCATCTCAACCTTTTCCTCAATTCTTCATGTAAGATGATTCAGTTAAAAGCCCAGTAAATTATTGCAATAATTTGGCACTGTGTAGGACTTTGGTTATTTGGGCATATTTATACTATAAAAATATTCCGATTTTTTGATATCTAACCAAAGCACATTATGTGCATTTTGGCGTTTACTCTCAACACATTCTCCATCTCTGTTGTACTGCAGTGATTGTTCACTGGTGATTATACGAACACTAATGCCAGAATAACCAAAACATTTTACTGAAATACTAAAATAAACAAGATATCCTTTGTACTACAGAAATATTTCGTAACAATTGAAGTTTTGATGTAAACATCCTGATTCTGTAATCATTATTATACCATTTACTTCCAATTTGTTTCGTGATGTTTTGAAAATCTTCCAACTTGCTGATGAAACTTTCTTGTAATTTAAAAATGTTTGAACAATAAGGAGAAAATAAATTCCACATCTTATCGAGCTATTTCAAAATAGCTACTAATTTATTTAATCAAAAGAATGCAGTCCGGAAAAGAAGACCGGAAGTGTTCCTAGGTGAGGCAAAAAAAGGATCTAGTACCACCAACATTTGCTAAGGGAAAAACTACGATATCAATATGAGATCACGAAAAGAACTGTCAGAGCAAGAAAAAGCTGTCTCCAACTACAAACTGGCATTTTCAAGACGACCATTAAAAAACGGTTGGATTGCATTCAAAAATTCGTGGTTCATTAAGAAGGAGAGAGATATACTGAGATGACCAACGAGAATAGCGGTATCCTGAAATTATCAACTGAAGGAGAGTAACTCCATGCTCAAGAATGACTATCAGTTGGCACTTCAGACTACATAAATAAAATAGTCCAGCTATGATAGTCCAATGAATTAGCTTCTCATACAACAGTAAATTTACTTCAATTACCATCACCAACATTTATTATTAGGAAAAGAATTCTGATCGTACTACAGTACACGTTTAAAGGATTGCAAATATTCAAAAACTGAGTTATCTAACATCCTGTCTCAAAACAAAATGTTTTACAAACTGATCGAAGTTAGTTCCAATCAGAAAAACGAATCGAAATTCGAAGATTAAAATAAATAACAATATGTTCTGGTTGCCTAGAAGAATTAATCAAAGACTTCAAATTGATGAATACTTACTTCAGTAGTACTATAAATCAATTATGTCCCATTACATCCTGAAAGGTATACACCGAGATGAATCAGTTTGGTATTATTCATTTATTACTTGCTTCATTCTAAAAATGTCGGAAAAAACCGAAGTTGTCAAAACAGAAATAATCTAATACGACCAACTGACATGTTGTCAATTTGTAATCTAACTCTATTCTGCAAAATTGCTATGACAAAAGGACAACATAATGGCAAAGGCTCGAAGGAAAGCTACTATCACTCCACCTTGAAGAAACCGAATATAATACATCGAAATAGTGCTATCTAAATAATACTTAGATAAGTGTTTCATTTAGGAAATCCTTTACCCAATACCTATTCGCGTTGTCTGTAATCTCATGGTTTGAAAGAACACGTGCACTGCTTAATATGTTGAAAATTGTTACCAATTTTCTTGTCATTGTCTTCGAGCCCAACAGTCAGATCCAGACTGTCAGCTCTCTATTCAACTAGAGAAAGCCTTTTGTTTTAAACCAAATCTACTTGCAGTTTCTGAGAATTGTGAGAGTCTTGCAATATGACATTCACTCTTATTGATAAGTTAAAATCCAATGTTTACGGCACAAAGGGTAAGGATGATCTGATAGAAACAGCTCTTTAGCCAACTACAATCATGCGCTTTGTTATAAATCACTTCTACTCTATGTATAGATTAAAGGAGATAGCAGTAAGATGTGGGCTACGATCGTTCCTCTTTGTTCGCTCTCTCCGTTCTTCGAGCTATTCAAACGATTAATGCTAATCTTTGTCTCAATGAAATAAAAATTGGTTCTAACACAGCCTTCGCCACTAATTTCTAATTAGAGCCTATTTCACATTCCATGCGAATCTAAAAAATCTGGTTCAAAAATTGTTCAATTCAAAGGAAGATTAGTAGGGAACAAGATGGAAATGATTTTTTTGTATTGACCATTGTCCTTTCACCGGACGATAAAAAATATCCATTAAACAAAAGTTCTAACTTTACAACTCCCCGAAGGTCTTAATCTCATTCCATTGGGAATGTAGGAGTAACCGAAATATTTTATATAGAAATGTGTTGAAAAATCAAGGTATTTTATGTTATAGAAATATTTTTCGTAATAATGGAATATTTTGGAGATTCTTTAGGTAAATATAACAAAATTATATAACTCTGACCTTCCCATTTAATGAAGATACTTAGTAGTAATGACTTCGAATATTTTAAACACCGAACCATGGGATATTTTGGAGATCCCTCATCTTAATAATTTGCAAAACTTACTTGCAATTAATTGTAAACGTTTTGTAAAACAGCATCGCACTATATAAGGGAAGAATGACTTCCACGTCATCACCATCAATTATTTTCTGATCTCAACAGGCAACAGTGCGCCTCAGCACATTCTACACGAATCCCTTACAAATGACTATCTTCCAATTGCCATTAAAATTTCCTTAGAAGATGTCGAAGAAAATCTAACCTGACAATTGACTCGTTATATTTTGATATTTTCCTTATAACTTGAGAATAATCCTCCACTAAGCAATAAACTCTATCACAAGTTGTTCGTCTCTGCCAATCAACACAAAAAGGACAATAAGTACTGTCGGAATAAACTGCAGTTCATCTATGTTTCATCCATGTCGGCCATTAATAATAGATGCATACTTATAACCTTTCGGTTCTTTTTTGTAGCTTTGCTGCAGTGGCAAGAACTCGTAATGATATACCTTACCAAGAGACAATCATCAAGGCATAATAATTTCACCATCCTTACATTATAGAGGAGTGGAAGGTTAACATTCTCCAACAGTCAAAAACACAGTCAATCATCCTAATTTCACTAAAATCCAATAGCGTCATATATTTCGGATTTGAGAAGTTGCAAACCAAGCAAATAATTGAAACTTTAACTCTGGAAAAGTTTTTAAAAAAACTTTTAAGAAAAACTTTAAAACTATAACTATAACTTGGGAATTATTATTTCCATTTGGAATTATGACCTCCCATTATTTATTCATACGCTTACAAAATGATAACAGGACTGACACAGTCTACCTAACCTGAAGCTTTAGACAGAAGATGAAACAAGTATGTAATTAATTAATATAAATCAACACGAGTAAGAAGCATTCGCAGCTTATGAATGTAGTAATTTTTAACAAATCCTTGCATAAAAGTTAATGACCTTTAATTTATAATTTATTCACCTTCAACACAAAATCGAACAATACAAAAAGAATGACAAAAAAAAAAAAAAAAATGGATAATTTAGCTTTCATAAAAATATTGGATTTCAGCAATTTCTTAAAAATATTGCCATCTTGATCCTGATGCATTAAATTGCTAAGTGTTTTGATAATTACTGCACAATACATAGTATCATTAGCCAAAGCAGCAAATTACTATTAAAAGCTTGCTAATGATAAGTTATACTCTAGCTTCCTAAAAAAAAACGCAACAAGATCAATTAATGATCGAACTGGTGTTATTGAAAAGATGACGTGGAGTGTTGAAAGCGGCCTTCAAATGAGCTGAAGAAGACAATGACATCTTACCGGACAACTTTCTTAGAGCATTTAAGCAGCTTGATTTCTCAATGAACGGCCGAGTTGGAGCATCTGGAAAATATCATATTTAAAAGCCATAAACAAGAAATTGATATCATAGAATTTGAAAAAAAAAGTTATACTGACAAACTCAATCTGATTTCAAACCTACAAAAAAAAAGTGCAGAAAAATACACAAATATTCTTATTCCACGACCTTTTTATTTCATGTACCACTAAATCTTTTTCAAATGCTCTTAAACAGGAATAATATATACCAAAGTGATATATGTGTGCAACAAGAATGCCACATTTCTTAAGAAACGAATTTTGCCGATTAGTTCTTATCAAATGATTCAGTACGTCGGCACTGCATGATAACAGTCTAAGAACCTGGAAAAGCGCGAGATAATAAGTAAAACATATAAATATCACAACAATGCAGACTTTATTCTAGTTTGCAACTTGATTTACTATTTCAGTTTCACTAAAATGTTACATTTATCTAATACTCTGTTTATTTCTTAAGTTTTCCTATAAAACTTTTATGAAAGCATTAAAAATTTACTTGGAATGAGATCCTTTTCCAATGAGAATTCGAACATAATGCGATACAAAGATATACTATGTTTGTAACATAATTCATATACAGTGCAGGAACGCTGCGAGTCCTACAATTTTATAACAGTTGCTTATTTCTTTTTTTTAAAAAAACACAAATTGTTTTTTTCTCTAAAAAAAATGATAAGGTACGATTTCATAGATGTGGTAAAGTACTATTTTTTATTAAAAAAGAAAGTTAGGATACTAACACAAATTAGAATTACGATAATACATAATAAATTTATATAGCTAAAAGCAATATAAAAACAATACAAAAAATTACTTCAAGTCAAAACTAGATGCAAGAAACAAATCTTTCGGTGGATCAGACCACAAAGGGATGTTTGCTAACACTTGCAAAGCATTAACATCTTGCAGACCATTCCAACCACAACTTGTAAGTCCGAGCCGAATAAACAAAGTCTACAAATCTGTCACGTTATCATAATTGACCGGTAATTTAAAAGTTCAAAGTTTGTAAAAATAAAATACTTTTTTTCTACAAACAATTTGATTTCTATCATAAACTGTCGTATCATTAACCATGTTTGACTGAAACAATTTTATAATCTGATAAAATAATTTTGTATTAAATCTATAGCATAAAAGTTTTTGTCTTATACTGCCTCATAGAACTGTTTCATTCAGAAATATGTAATGAATAATCGGCCAATTCTTTTTTCCCAAATTAAAACTAAACTTATACGCAATGTCGGAATGTTGTAAAGAACTCTTTCAGAAAAAATCCGTTCTAAAGAAATCACTGTGTCCGATCATAAACCAACTCTTTTGCAAAGGTTCTCTTTATAACGAACTCCACTATAAACGGAGTTAAATCCTTGGTCCACCCTCAGTTCTTAACTATAGCAAGCTTCAATTCGGTAGTCCTATTACTCCCTCTACATCTTGTCAAACTCTATTCAACGACAAACTGTAGTCAATCCCAATCGAATTTCTCTAACAATCATAAGGCCAATAAATAAACGTTCATTCCAAGCATTCATTTGCGTCAACCAATCAATAACGAAGATTTCATCGTTAAGAAACGAACAAAATTTCCCGACAAATTTTTTCTCTCATCAACTGAACAAAAATATAATGTGAAAAATACTACTAAAGCCTAGTGTATCTATCCTGAATTTAAGTAGCAAGTGAAAAATATGCCGAATTTGATCAACAATCTCAGTGTTCAACTTACCAATATAATATTGCAATGTTCCAAAGAAAGAATATCATTAGTTTCGAATCCGCTTAAATTAATATCTGCCACTGATTCCAGAATGTATCGTAGCATACCAATACGAAGGAATTCAAGTGCCAAAGATTGAGATCCCAAAGCGTCTTCTCGCAGTATTTGTGTGAGACAAAATAGTGCTACGAACTAAAATTTTATATACTGTTTTAAATATTCATGAGAACCAAAGGATAAAAGTTTACCTAACTCTTTAGCTTTCATTAAAAAATGAAAAAAAAAAATTAAAAAATGACAAAAAATTATTATTGTTCCATAATCGAAAGAACAAAATCATTTTGAAATTTTTGTTGAATGATTTACAGAGACAGAAAAGTGTAATGTAACACTGTTTAATCTTAGTTCTTATGTCTAACTATGTTAGTCCTAGTTCTCAGTAGGTGATTTCAGGTGCCATAAAAAATTATACATTGGTACCAACTGTCATGTTGCCTCTTTTTTTTTTCACATGCCTAATTAAAGACTTGAAAGAGAAAACAATGACAATCTTTCTTTTATAGGGACGCGCAAAGTATTGCAATGGCTTTATCGAAACGGATTTAAAATCCAAGGATTCTTCGTTACTCTTTATAAACAAAAAGTCTAGTTATTCATATGCCTAATTAGAGACTTGAAAGAGCTGCAGTTCAAAAATGAGTGATAGTGATAATAAATAACATAAAACTGTCATTAAAATGCTGAAATGGAAACTACACTTTTATTTAAAAAATCTGTTGAAATGAAAAGTGCATTCTCAAGAGAGTTTTTACATTCACCACTGCATTAACTCTTTGAATTCTCTTCAAGCTTTAGAAAATAAAGAAAAAATAAGAAAACTGCGAAAAAGTTATTGTGACTTCCTCTTTTTATAGTAATCTCTCTCATCTCAGTTTACTGATCACTTCACATTATTTTCAACGAGTTCTAGGCATATCAATTCTCAATACCGAATATGCTTTATAAAATAAATATGCTGAGACATAGTCAGCGTAAGCAGGTGAATAAGGCGCAATATATTTTCAAAAGAATATTTTATCAACATGTTAGTGTTTCATCGCTCGTACCTTTAAAATAATGTACTGTATATGTATTCTTGGATAAGATATATATTCTCTCTCTTTGAAATTCTCTAAAGGAAATGTGCATATATAATGGAAGAGCAATGAAAATTGTCAAGGAATTTAAAAATCATGAATTTGGTATTGGACACATCATGCTCCCTATCAGCTACATCACTTTCTTCTTATTTGGTGTTGTAATATTCATAATTCTCGAAATTGAAATCCTAATCGGTTAAGGAAAAATTGGCTAGAACACCTGCAGAGCACAGAAAAAAAATTCTAGAAAAAATTAGGGTAGTATTAATGACTTGTTAGGCAAAGCTAATTACCAATAATGTAGTAAAAAAAAAAAATAAACAATAAACGAAAAGGGAAATCGGAGCTGTTATTTTACTGGCTAGAAGTTTGGATATAATCAGAAGAAAGAGATTTAAAGGTATATTCATGCCACTAATATCAGCTCCATTCCCCGCCACATTTATTTACTACGATTTACAAAATCTGACATATTTAAATAAAACTATTTTCTACAACGACGAAAACAAAAAATCAACTTACAAAAATCTAATTAAAAAAAAAAAAAAAAAAGTATTTGAAAAAGAACCTGCTTTGTTGTTCACGACATGGTACCATACATATTCAATAAAACAACAGTTTTGATATTCATACATGATGATAAATCAAAATGTTTGATGAAAATACTCAATAAGGTATTGAAAAAAAACGAAGACACACTTGAAATTTGTTCGCCATTACGTCCCATACAACTACATTAATTCTCTCATCTTTATAAATTTTCGAAATCAATTTTCATTGCTTTTAGTTCTCTATTTTTACAACACAAATTACCACTAAATGCTAAAATGAAAGCCGTATCATTAAGATGCTTTCACTGTAACGACCAGTGGGTCAATGGGCACATTTATCCAACATGGCTTATTTTGTTGCAGTTTTGTACCGCTATCCGTGTACTTGCTTCAATAACAATGTCTTATAGCAAGGATATGATGAATTTAGCAGTAGCAGTAATGAAGTCTTACAAAGTGATAAAGAGAAATATTCTATGAAAGAAAAAATATTTCAGTGAAATTATTTATAAATATTCGTAAAAGGAAACTTCTACAGCACACTTCAACCGGCAAGGGTGAGAAAATTTTCTTTGTTATAGAATATTCACCAAACAAAAGAGGATTTGTTAGGAAAGCTCAAAAGAAATTGGAAATTAATCAACAATAATAAAGCTTTCACACCTCGTCTTATTTTTCATTAATTTTCTTCATACTAAGTACAGGCAAATTAAATCAATTCAACTGCGTTAAGAATATTTCATCATTTTTCAATCCCAGAAAAAGAAATCCATAACACCAAACTATGTTAGCACTAATAACTCATTCCAAACAAACACAAGCAATCAAGTTTACTTAAAACGATTTCATAGCTGTGTTTACTGGTTACCGAGTCGAATGTAATGTCTTGTAAAAAAAAATGTAAAAACAGGAAATGACTTTTTAATCTGATTACGACTCAAAAGAATAACAAAGATTCTGCAATTACAACTGTCTGAATGAAAAACTGACCGGAAACGTTAATGTTATTTACGTTAGAGTATTTGTACAACAAAATGATCAACATATTTTTTGAAGTATGTTTGATAACCAAACTTCAGTAATTCAGAAAGAGAATTTCTTTAGCTTAATAAAGAATTAAATAAAGCTTACTCTAAGTCCTGATGGTGAATCACAAATATCTTTGGACAACAGTGAAATTAGTTCATGTCCATACTTTGTGAGCGCATTTCGCAAAATATCTTGCTGTGCAATTTTTAATGTTGTTAAACCAAAGAGAAAGTCATCATCGGAACGAGAAATGTCCTGATATTCCTCTCTCTCCGAAACAAGTGCTTCAGTTGAATAGTTTAAAATAAGCGAAATGCAAGCATATAAATCTAGCTTCGTCTGTAACGACCGTTTACCTGGAAACTAACACTTAAAATTAAAATGACAGTTAAAAAAATACAAATTTTCAATAGCAAATAAAAACTATCATGTATAAGTAAAGCATGAAGTAGAATAAACGTGCCTGGTTGTATCAGAAACCGAATCAAAACATCAGCAACATCAGTAATAGTGGTTCTAAACTCAACAACTTCTTCTTTCAAACTCTTTAGTAGTGCACAGATCGAAGCAGTCAATCTGTAGAAAAATTTTCAAGACAAATTTTATAGTAATCAATTACGGATATCGTTAAGCTTTTATGCTTAAAAATTTATAATAATCAAAATATACAACCTTAGAAGACACTGAGAAACTGCTGAGGATAGTTTTGCATCTCTGTACGTATCCGAAGCATAGTTTAGTAAAATATATAATGCATCTAAGAGATACTGGTACTGAACTTCTGAAAACAATTCACATAGAACAGTATTATAAACAACTTGTCAAGTTCTTTTTGAAATATCGCCTAATGTATAAAATTAAATAATGATGAAGCAAAAAACCTATTTCAAGAAAAACGACATTAATTACAAATGAAAAAACTTGCCCAGGGTAAGAAATGGAACCGGACAAAATATAGCGAGAACATTTACAAACGATAGCCAACCAGAAAGAAGCTGTCGCAGTGACGCTTCTGCATTTTTCATGAGGTTATAAGTTGTGCAGTATTGAAGCAATTGCTTAGTATCCTGTAAATAAATACTAAAAACGAAATTCTTCAAAAGCAAAGCACAAGCTTTTTTTAATGGGATAATAATCCCATTACATTACCTTCACTTTCTGAACTCAAGTAAATAGCAATGGATTTATAATACCTGTGAAATTCCAAAATTGCTGTGAAATTTCATATATTCACATACCTGTGAAATTCCAAAATTGAATTTGGGCTGCATTTCATTAGCAACCATGCTAAATTCTCTACAAAGTAACCAGTTTAAATGCTCGATATCACATTGCTGAACATTTGCAGATGTGGGACGCAAACATAACGACAAGATCTGGAAACTATACAACATAGTTTTCATGCAATAGTGCATTTCATTTCATCCAACTGATTCGCAGAATTCTCTGAGAATCACTCAGCATTACAAAATTATTTTTGCTTTGGTAAATAAATCTCTTCAATTTTGGTCTAAACAAATATGCATTTTCATACTACAGCAACGAAGTATTGTGTAAAAAAAATGAATAACCTGCTCCAGTCTTTTTGTATTAAGCAATTCCATTACCGGAATCTCCATTTCATTAAAATTAGCTTTAGTTCTTAGTAATCTCCATAAAAAAGGCCACTCTAGAAAAAAACCATTTTGACATTAGTCCATATTTTACTCCACAAATCCCACGAACTTAAAAAGGAGCGGACAATCAACTAATTCTTATCTGCAATTTGAAATATTTTTAAAAATCTAAAAAACGAAATCTGCTTTGAGTCAATAAATAAATCACGGTAAAATTCAATTCAACGAGTCTTAAGCTATCACATCCAACCTTCTTCATCCCTTTGTTTATTTGGGGTGTAGCCAATATCACTTTGTCCCAGTGCTTGCTCAACTGCTGAATTTTGCTCTTCCATTACATCATCCCTCTGCGATAGCATAAGATGAAAGTAACGTTTTGGCTGACTAGAACAAAACTGATTCAAATTTTTGGGCTCACTAAATGGGTTGCAATTCAGTTCCCCCAAATTCACCACAATCAAAAACTGACCACAATAAGATAATAATGAAATGCCCCAAACACATGGAGATTTATAACTGGTTAACTAGAGTTATAACATTGATAATATTTGTTTCATCAAATGTGACCCATCAAGATGGGACACAGAAACTATTAAGTCTCCAAAACAATAATAATAATCTGAAGTGTGATTCCACTGCAAGAAATCCAAAGCATTAAGGGAATGCGCCAGTAACATAAACAAAAGTAAACCTGTAGTGACGATTCTGTAACAGAGAAGACAATTCAACTGCGCTTAAATGTAACACCAGTCCTTGAATAGTGATTTTTAAATTCTTTAGCACCATATCTTCCTCTTCATCGCTATGCGTTTTTGTATCCAAAAGCAATAGAAAAGATGTTAAGCGATAAATAAGGTCGTGGTTTGAGCGGAAAAACCTAAGGATAACAGTTGAACAACTACAGTTTATTGATACCAGTCGCAACTGCAAAAGAAAAAGTTAAATATAACTTTTGCATAGCATCATTAGAGGATGGATGTTAAGAGATGTAAACAAACTGAAATTAAAAGTAATATAACTGATCGAAAACTGAACTAAAATTTTCCATAAAACAAAAGTTGGAAATTCTTAACAATTGGAGTTCGTAACCTATTTGTTTGCAATACTTGCCCACGATAAAATCATAAAACAATAGCTTACCATTAATCGAAGTGTTGGTTCGAAAAGCGCAGCAAATGGGAGTGCAAATGGAGCTTCAGAAGTTGTCATTTCTATTAGTAAATCAACTAGACTATGTAGACAAGTCATTGTGGTACCTCTGAATCCTGAAATTCAAGCATATGATAGTAAGCACATCAGATGAACAGGTGTTATAAAAAAATCGAAAGTGATATCACTTAAAAATCACTCATCCAATTTCGCCGAGATTAAAGCTATTCACTATCCGAAGAAATATACTGTTACAAACATATAATTGATCATAATCAAGAACTGCTGTTTAATTTGCATTATGCATCACTTCTCAAATTTCTTTTGAAAATTAATATTGTTTGAACGACTGAAATTTCGTCAAAATTTCAAGTTGGAATTTTCTTTTCTAGTTGATTTCCTCTCAATTGAAAAATAAGCTCATTCCCTTCTTCAGCACTTAAATGCCATTGCAAACAGAAGCTTATGCTTTGAAAAAATTACGCATTATTCTGCACTTCGAGATTTCTCGTGTAAATAAATATATAGAATATTTTTCAAAAAAATAAATATATAAAACAAAAAAAAATTTTCTACTGAATTTGTGTCTTTCAGATCAAGATCATGCAGATAGTACTTGTGAACATATTTATGAAACCACAACTCGCCTGTGGACTCAATGACGGAATTTACCAAATCTGGCATTCTGAGACCACAGAAAAGATAGACTAAATTAGTGGTGCCTGGATCATTCTCAATACTAGACGAACACATTTCAATGAATAAGCGTGCTGTTTCACCACGTACTCTCGCCACTGGCAACTCGTCAATTCCTAAAATTTTTCATTGTATATATAAACTAAATACATGAAATTTTTTAATAGTCCAATAAAACAGAAATTACAGCAGCTTTTTCATATTTCAAAGTGAAAAGTAGATTTCAAATTGCAAGCTATGGAATCAAACCATGATAAACAGGTGAATCAAGAGCCGAGACTTCAATCGCCGCCATTTTCACGGAAGTCAATCGCGCAAAACTTTCAATTAATTCTAAAGAAAGCGGCAAAAGCGCTTGTACAATACGACTTTGTATGGAAGGTTGACAACAGCAAAGTTCCCGCAAAATTGACACTACGTAATATATATGTTTTGGGATGAGCTCCGACTGAAATTGGCCAAGTAAAGAGATAAACAGTGACGTGAAATAATTTCAGATTAATAAAAGTAGAAACACATGTTCTTTTTATACTACTAAAGCACTGTCTACTTTATACTTTGCATTTAGCATCCATAAATGGAACTTCTGAGAAAATTTTACTTCGCACCTCAAGGAAAAGATAAAAAAAAATACCAGCACATAAATGAAATAAATACAAACACATAAATATTATGCGATCCCAGTAGATTCTAGAAACTGAAAAAATGCAAGGCGTAAAAAGGTAATACGTCATAAGGCAGTACCTGTGTCAAATATGAGGCGATAACTGTTATATACGTTGTTACCCCGTTACTTTCTACTGATGATAAGAAAAGTGAATCCAATGATGCAATTATTATACTGGAATTAGTCGCACGAACTGCATCTATTAAAGGTGCATGTAATGACACGCTGACATCCAACAAACGCAGTACTGATAAGACAGCCGCTTCGCGGTCTATTGAGCGAGGGGAGAAATCATGCAAACGTTCCGCTCCATCACATAATACTGCACTCAACTGAATTCTTCAGCTGTTATGAGCTTAACATAATTTCAACAACAGAAACATTATCAAGTGGAAATGCTGACGAAATCACTACAGTTTGATCAATTAATGTTATGTTTTTAAAAATGACAGTTTAAAAAATAAAAAAAAAAATTTTTAAAAATTTAGTAGTTTATGTACATTGTCCATTACAGTTCTAACAAGTAAAGAGAAGGAATATACATGATTACCAGTAGAATATAACTTACCGCAGTAATTGACAGTTAAATTTTCAGTGGTAATTGTAAGAAAAAAAAACCATCTTACCGATCGAAATACAGGAGAATCATTTAAAATTTGTGTAAGGACAATAATTTGCGGATCTGCATCCAGAATTGCTTCTGCTGTAATAGCATAATGGTGAAGAAAATTATACAAAGCGTCGCATGCTGCAGAGCATAAATGCCACTGAAAATGAAAATTAAGATGAATGGATTAACCAAAATAATTCAGGTCGTGTTATAATAGAATTAAAATAAAAGCCATGATTATATCTTTATGAAACTAGTTATAAAAACAGTAGGAAAATTCGACAGAATATTACAGAAAGAATAGTGCGAATAAATAATCAAAAAAAAAAGACCATTTGTGATACGTTTTCATATGAGCGATCCGCAAACTGGCAAATAATGGATTTGATGATGAACTGAAGATATTGCAATAAATATCTCTTATCGATATTTTTAATATGCAGAAACAGAGTTTTCATAAGATGTAAGAAGCCAATAGATGAGTCGTAGCATTTGAAAGTACATTCCCGTGTTTCTAATTCATCCTTCAACAGTATAACGACCAGATTTCAAATATTAATATATTAATAACAGTAAGTACACAATTATTCAAAACAGTGTCTGCAAATTAGGAGTCTTGAGCAGCTATTTAATGAATAAGTTTTTAAAAAATATACTTGTATACCAACAAGTTTTCCAGAACTTGTTTTAGTCAAAACAGAGAGTGATATCAATGTTGTCCAAATCTTCACAGCCCCATGTTCGTCCATTGCAAGTGACGCTAAACAACGGAACAGCGCTCCCTTCAAAACGAGGGGAATGGCAGAAGCTACCAAACTTATTGCTGTTTCTATGCATGACCATGAACTGTTATCTGCGAAATGGCGACGAGAAATCTGGTCCTAAATGAAACACCACAGGAAAAATTTTCCAAAATCCAGATCAAGCAAATAAGGAAAAACAATTTTTATCTGAAAAACTTAAAGTAGATTAAAATGAAGAGTTACATTTACGAATCAGAAACCAAATAAAGTTAAAGAAAACTTTCGAAATTCATGAAGCCTTACATTTTTAGCAACAATTTCTACAAGCTGAACCCATGCCACAAGGCCGGCTAACTCGGATTGTGGGATCTGCTGGAAAGTATCATGTTGCCCCGGGTGTGTTGCATGCATTATACTCGATGTTTGACTTTTTTTTCGTTTGAAAAGTCCAAGATAGTCATGCATTGCTGTCCAGAAATGATCCCAAGACAACGTACTTTGAACTACAACAAAAATAAATTAACCAAATCTGTTTTATGAAAACTAAAAATTTCTGATTAAAGATAAGAAAATCTTAACATTTCGAAACTGTTGTACCGGATTTTGTATGACATGGAGAAAGCAGTCCAAATATGAAGCATGCCGATTCTCGACATTTGCAGATGTTTTTTAACATATCGAGAAAAGCGACCTGGAGTACCGGTGAAATAAGTTGCCGACAGTTTCTCAAAAACTTCACCAATTCTTCCTGAGAAATAAGACAAAGTTAATGTAAAAGTGAATCTTTTGAAATGCTCTGTCAAATTTGAGAATCTTTTAATTTCTGCTTCGTAATGCTTTATGAGTGCAAGAATAGTGACATTGTGTAAAATATATTGAAAAAGCATAACCAATGATGTTGATAAATAATCTGGCCATCATACTAGACAAACTATAGATAGGAAAGTTCAAAGCAACAAAAGTGATTTACAACATTTCATCAAATATGATCAAATGCGCCAGAAACTCACACTCTCACTAGAGCAAAATTGTGCAGACAACTGCTCCAAATATTTCGAATCACCATCATACAAATCAGCAATACAACGAATAAAATTTTCAAAATGAAGCCGAGGCCTGTGAAGCTGACCACGTTCCAACATTTCTTCCACGTACTGTAATTCTATTTCGCCGGAATGTTGTAACAGAATGACCTAAAATAGTCCATATTAACGACATTATGCAAAATACTTCAATGTGTACATGACTTCTCTGCTTACCAGTTGGGAATAATTTCGTGAAAATAATCAATGGATTGTTTCGTGAAATTTAAAATGCAATTTAAAAGTAAAACTATGAGGAAAGAAAATTAAAAAGCTAATAAAATATTAACCTGATTACTGAGATGAGCAATAAAATTTTTGATCAAGGTGTCAACCGTAGCAAAAGCTATGAAACTTTTTCTAAATTTTGGCATTGAAATAACACATTTCCGTATGAACTGGAAGGCTAATCCATCGACTGCCTTTTCAAGCAAATCATCTTCTTTGATAGAAAAGCCACCCAGAACTATCAAAAAAATAATAATGAAAATAGATATTTAAACAATTGAATCGAAAGTGAGGAGGAATCAATAAGAATTGCCAAACAATCATATGAAATACATAAATGAATGGAAAGTGGACCGCACTAAACCTTCTTGAACGAGCTGATGAACACTAAGCCAGTTGTATGAAACCACGATTGCAAACTGTAGAGAAGCCTGCAGACAAGAATCTTGCCAGTCCTCCAAAAATACTTCTTTGTGAAATCCCATCAACAAATCTCGAGCACATCGCACTGAGAATCGTTTCATTTATTTTAAGTATTTGAACTGTGAAATAATTACAAGAAAAGGGCGTAATGCCATAAAAAATATTTGGATAAAAACGTAGAACAGAAGAAAAAATAAAATTATGAAAAATTACTGTTTTGAAGATTGTGTGGAGATATCAGTATTAAAGTAGCGGTCCACAGTGATAAATGGGTATTTTTGAAAGCTATATTCGGCTGCAGTTCTTTCAGCGGTGCAAATAAATCCTTTAAAAAGGGTGGTGCTGATTCCAATTGCCAGGATGAGCATATAAGATGGAGTGTTTGTGCACAGTTTTCTAACGTGTCTTCAATTAATTCTCGCAACTGCAAAAATGTCTGCCATCGCCAAAAAAAAAGCATTAATAACGATTAATAAAGAATGGATTTAAATTACATTACAATAAAATTAATATCTATACTGAATTAAACTTGAAATAAACCTACAATTTCCTGATGTTTAGGGCCACCTAATCCATTTACATTTGGATGATGTAAACTTTGTAATTCAGATTGCACATTTACGGTTTGCAAGACTTCTAAAAGTATCATTATTAAAACCACCAAGTTATAAAAATAGGTGAAAACTCAGCCAGTTAATTGGTTATGAGCATGAATATATTGTATGATTAAAAATTTGTTAAAATGTCCAAACGATAGGAAACAATCTGTACCAATAAGACGTCTAATAAAGGCAGTATCACTAAGCAACTGATTAAGATATTCAAAAAGCTCGCGTGATTTCGGTAACTTTTCGTCAACTTTGAATTCTGCCAGAGCCTGTAATATGCAAATCATTCAGTACAACAATATGGATGGTAAATAATAAAAGATCCACTGAGTATTACAGACAAATTTGGTATCTCAGATTACAAGCAATAAATAATGTCTTTTCAGATTTAAACGTTAAGTACAACCAAGCAAAGCATAACATGAAAAGAATAAAATTTTGAAAGCATTCACTTACTTTGACAGCTGCACTGATAAAACGATGTGAATCATAGTAGCAAACAACAGCACAAAGTCCTCTCGTTAAGAACGGAAAATGCCGTATTTGTACCTCACCTGCAGAACATAAACAACCAACCACATCATACTTTATGTAAAACATGAAAATTCAGACAACAGAAAAAAAAAAAAAAAAAACATCTCCGAATTTGACAGCACCATAATGCAAACATATGTTCAATTATTCCACAATAAATTTCGAAATTTATCAAATTTCAATTCGCTTTTTCGTCTTCTATTACTACTTACTAATACATGTTGATAAGTCAGTATGACGGTTAATATAACGTATGATAGGCTGATCAGCAGTATGTGTGATCGAAATGATGCAGCAGTTTGAACGTCTAGTCTTTAAATACCTTTCAAAAGTTCCAGTTAAGAATTATTAAGTAAATCACCATAACATTAGGGAGTTAGACAAAAACAAGAAATATTACCAGTTATTACTAGTTCAAGAGCATCAAATTCATCACAATTAAACAAATCTGATATAATTATTGCTTCGTTCCGTAGTCCATCATCCACTTTCACGACTTCTCCACTGTCTAATTCCAGTACTTCACCACTCTTGTTCAGCACCGAACGATGCAGTGAATTTTTACTCTAAAAGAAAGTAGGAACAATCTTCTACGCTATGTAAACAATACTGTGGAATTTTCAACTGAAACTTAAAAAGACCAACTGGATTCCGAAGTATATTGACGAGTAATGGCTGGGCTTTGTTTAGTACAGCTATCAGTTGTTCCAGTGAAGTACTACTGCTCTGTTCATTGTAACAGCTATTTATATAATCATCGATTACCCTGAAAGTGTTCCGAGCCTTCACCCACATTCCTTATTTCTGAAAAGAATATCATTCGACAGTAAAAGAAGTAAGACACAGTTACATAATAGTGGTCATTAGCGTCACTTTTTCCTCGTCGATAAATTAAGCTGTTGGCTTTAATCTTCATTAGATGAATCAAATGGTCAACAAATTCACGGTGTTAAATCACTGCTTCGTTTCATAAGAATCGTACTTTATATTAGGCTACGCAGGACCATTCAAGTCACAGATGCTTCTAACACAAGCTCTACTCCAGGCTAGTTAAGACACAGAGGCTCTCAGGCTTACGCTACTCAGGTAAATCAGTATAACTGCAAAAAAAAACTTGCATAAGTATATAAGTGTTGAACACAGGTAAAGTATAAAACTGCACCTAAACATAGATCAACTCTATCCTCACTGTAGTTGGGCGGAGATATTGAAGTCACTTAGTAAAAATCCTTCACTTCCCGTTGGCAGGTTTTTCACTCTTCACTGTTTCAAATTACTACTCGAAGGACACATGAAATAAATAATGGATCTACAGCATCAATCATATAGTATATATACATCAACCTAATAAATTAATTTCGTTTCCATTACGAATAGATTGTATTCAAATAAAACAGTTCCAAAAAGAAAATAAGATAATGAAATGAACAAATTGAAAAATGAGGAAAAGGAAAAGCAATTTCCATGTTGAAAGGTTTCCACATTTGGGTAGGACCTTAAATATAGGATTCTAACCGAATTCCAGGACTGACTAAGCCAATTTATGGTTTTCAACGATCTTTCTTTAAGAAAGAACAAACAGAACGACAAATCTAAATTCATTAACAAACTAAGAGATCTAAGCTCAAATAAGAGTTAAACTCTAAGTTCAAATACAAATACACCGACCATCTTTAATAAACCCAGCACCCACAACCATTTAAGAGACATTAAACCAAAAAGATAGACGTCGAATACCTTTACCCACCGTCACTTTATGCTTCTCTGATCGAGTTCTAATGAAAACATTGTGACGCATTATCGACATGAAAAAGTGTAGTAAATTGTGTTGCTTCAGTGCATATAATTTGGTGGAAGTGGACTTTTGGACTGTACGACATATTTGCGTTGGTGAGCCAAGTTATTTAATGTTAGCTGGAAGTGTTGACAAACTAGAAGACTTAGCAGTGCTAGCTTTTTCTCTAGCATGACGGTTCTATGAGAATAAGAAGTAATCTCAAATGTTTATAGTCTCTTCTAGACTTACAGAATTTGAAAAGATAGCATTAACAGTTATAAGAGAGAAGACATTATTAATTGTTATTAATTTATTGGTTTCGAATCAAGCAGCAAAAAAAGTACACAAGACAGTAGTAGAATAGACTTCGGATTCAGCTGAACTGCTTATCTCCGGAATTAATAACCTCTCTTTCCTTTCCTTCCCCTTGACCCGAATATAGATCATTTTCACCTCCGCTCTTACGTGCACAATTTTATAGCGTTTTTCTTCCCGAGTATTTTTGAAACATTCATCTGGCTGAAATTTATGAAATCGGTCGGAAAGCAAGTTTTAGATGCTTTATTGTCATTGTCTGTGCTAGTTTCAAGTGTTGCTGAAAAGGCAAGCTGTTCGCTTGTTAAATTGTCGGAGATGATATTTTCAAAATGAACTAAGAAACTTTTGAACTTATTTTGTATTCTGCATTTATCCTTTACACACTTCGTTTCTTATTTTCTGAAGATGATCTACCACTCATCACCCACTCTTTCTTATTGGTATTCAATAATCAATAAGAAACTTATTAGCAATTTGTTTTTTTTTTTTTCAGTATTTGTGATATTTTATAAGTTAAATGCAATTTGCTTTAGGTAAAAATTACAACTCATTCAGAAATTCCTATACTGCAAGATTCGTTTATTTTTTCAAATATTTTAAGTTTTACGTAAAATTTACATAAAAATATGGCAGCTAAACTATCTCTTTTATTTTTTTGAAGGTGAAGAGCATTCATTAATTACCATCCAATGTATAGTATATTTGATAATGAGAGTGTTCCACAACTAATGGAAAAGCGATTAGGCTGAAGTATGCTTTGATGGCTGGTAAAAGAAATGTCTGAGATTATCTTTATTGTTTCAGTGATTATTCACACGTCACCGGAAAAAAAAAAAAACATCAAGTGGAAATAGTTATGACGAAAACAGTCATTTCCAGTTTGTTCAAACTTCATGTCAGGGACATGTGATCGATCTTTAAAGTTATCATCCACCAGTTCCATGTAATCTGACCAATGCCAGCAGAAAAGAGATTTTCTCTTTTCCTACACATATCGACTCTCGCAGTTAACGCATTCCAAGATCATCCCATATTGTGCCATTCGGAACACTCTCATTGCAGTATCACATTTTAACGTCAGTATTACAAGAAAGGACAAAAACTTCGGTCTTGTTATAGTAAAATTTGAAAGCCACAAAACAAGTTGTTAGTCATAAACCGAATGTATTTAGAAACTGAGTGCTTTGTGAGCACTTACACCAAGTAACAAACAAAGATTAAAGTTGAACTGCAAAAGAAATGAACAGAAACCAAATCACAATTGGAAGCGCTTTACGGTCAAATCTCTCGGGCAAAATCTAAGCAAAAAGCCGAATGAATGCTTCGCTAAGATAATTATATATATCCTATAATTTCAGAAAATTACTCCATCATTAACAAATGACAAGTATGTGGGAGAAAGTTCAATAAGACGCAGAAATGCTTACCCCATATGAATATATATATACTACAACAACTCTACAAATGTATCCATATGAAACCAATGAAAAAAAAAAACAAGATACTGCATACAAAACATATGATTTGCTAAAGAAAAAAATCGACCGTTTCAAGAAGAGCGTCTAAACCCTGAGAAAAAGTGATCCAAGATAATACCACAGGTAAGAAAAAAAATGAGTTACCACTAAATCACTATCTAATTTTTGATAGATGGCCGGATAAACGCCTGATCATAAGAAATAATTTCCAAACAAATTCTTATCCATAAAACTATTCTTTCAAGGAAAAAGAAGAGAGTATAAGAAGTGTTAAACCGGCCATCAATCACATATTTTCATCAATCATCATTATTTTTTTCATTACAAGGAAAAACAGTTTTGCTCGTCTAACGAATATAAAAATAATCATCTAAATGTAATACTATTCCAGTAATTCTTGTGACCACAAACAAACCAGAGGTAAAAATTAAATCGAATTCCTATTCGAAAATGATGATAATGCGAACAAAGTTTTTATATCTAAAAACTTCTAGGCAGCAATTCCTCCTATTAAAAGTCACTCAAACATTTCTACGAAAGACTTATTTCCATTTTCAACAATCATCGTTTTATAGTATTAAAAAGAAGTGATCAATTATTATTCATTTAAGGTCTCTGTGCACTTGCAAAACCACCTTCCTGTTGCAATCGTCGCATCATATCAGAATTCAATGAGCCAGGATTTACGATTCGAGATCCTAATTCATTATTGAATGGATTCATCATTGTCATTTGCAAAAGAGCATTCTGCTCTAGAAAAGGGCGTTGCGCCTGAGCCTGAGCTGCTGCTGACATGGCTAATAGCTGTTGCAACTGAAGTGCATCACCTGCAACCACATAAACCATAATCAAGAGAATTACGCAAAGCAACTTCAAGAATTGCCCTCATCCTAAAACTTCCGAGCGCAACTAATGGTGCGGAAATAAATACTAACTACAAAATGACATTCTTCACTTTTTCATAAATGAATGAAGTTAATTAAACAGCACCAGGATGGGTGGCAGCTGCATGTTGCATCATAGCAGCAGCATGTGGATGGAGATGGGACTGTGGTGCTTGAGATACAGGTATTCCACCAGGAGCCAACATTTCCATGCTAGCCATACCTATAATTAATTAATACCTATCTATTGCTGAATTTCATATTTTTAAGATCAACATATAACCCACAATAGAACATAAGACTGAAGTGAATATATATTTTGAATATAGAGAGATTTTAAGTACTGTTTCAGATTATAATATATGTATTATGTATGTTATGCATATATTATGCTATTCTACATTATGTTATGCTGGTCATGTACACTTCAATCGTATTCATTTACTTCAATTCTTTTACTTCACATATATATAAGTTATTGCGTATATAAAACGTCTTCAAATTTAAAGTCTTATGAACATCATAACTGCGTTAAAAGTGGAGTAAATATCTATTCAGATGATCGCATTCTGGTAACAGGAAAATGTCTCGTGCTGACTTATGAAATAAATTCGAAAAAAAAAAACTAACTAAGCATGCGCTGCTCTAAATTTCGTTGCTCCAAGGCACTCATCATTGCTGCGGTATGACTGTCGATACCTATTCCAAATTGCGAACCAAGCTGTGGATTATGCATCAATGCAGCCAAGGCTCTCGGATCCATCCCAAAATTATGGAAAGGTGGTGGAAGTATGTTGGGGGGAAATCCATGAGCACTAACAGCAGTCGCAGCAGTACCACCACGGGAAGGAGAGTCACGAACAGCTGCTACTGTGGAACCCGTCGTCACTGTACCGTTTGCACCATTTCGTATCATTTCTAATTGATGTGCTCTTAGCTGCTGTTCCATCTGCTTTTGAAAAACTTGCTGGAAAAAATTAATTTATAATACAATTCCCTCGTATGTTAATTCTCACTTTTCATAATTGGAATGTCTCAAATACCTGTTCAACTGCGATGGCATACTGTTGTTGAGGAGTAAGGAAACCGAATCGCGGATCTGGCATACCAGGAAACATTCCTGGCAAACCAGAAACTGCAGTACCATTCATGGGGACCCGACCTCCCATGAATGCCTCAACATTAGGTGTACCCGACAATGATGCAAGTTGAGCAGATGGTAATTTTGGCACTGTAACTGGAGTTGGGAACGTTTCATTAGGCTGAAAATGTTTTTCTTTTTTTAAACAAAAGGTTATACTAAAGAAAATGAAAATACGCGAACTGGTTTTATAAAAA